TTATTTGTTTAATTCAGTATGCAGATTTATTAATCTAATAAAAACTAGCACACAGCTTTCCGAATTGAGTTTAATGCTTTTTTGGCTTAGTTATGAGTTTTTTTTACTTTTATTTGCCAAAACAATAATTGCCATATAAAAATATCAATAATATTGTAGTATTAAACTGAGAACCTAAAGAACATAAGATACAACAGATACAACACTTAGATACATTTCATTTGGCCCCCCATCTAAGCCACATTTGTGAACTACGCCCATCTCTGTGATTTCTGACTCCTCCAACTTTCCATCTCTGTCAGCGCCCAAAGGAAATTGTATAAAAACGACAATAACAACACAGAAAGCATGGAAAAGAGATACACATTTCGTTTTTGGAGGCTAATAATAGAAGTGCAGCCGTTAAAGAGAAAATGCTTACAAAGTGGTAATGGAGACAGCAACACCCCCTTTGCCCCTTTCGATTTCCCTTTGGCCGTGGAGAGTGAGTGCGACAATTATGTTTGAGCACATATAAAAATCATTGAAGAAATATTTATGCGGCTTGTACATTAATTCCGTGTTTGGAAAGCAAGCCGAATAGCAAACAATTTTCCCCTGCCATGGTGCCGTCACCTGTTTGCCACCTTTCCAGCATACACCTCCTAACCGTTCCCACCTCCTCCACCTCGTCCTCCTCCTCCTCCTCCTCCTCAATTCCACCCATTAGCCTTGTGAAAAGTTCATTTGCCCCGACTCATAATTTGCCGCTTGCATGTCAAACAAACTGAGACCGAACGAACACACAACTCTCGGGTTTCCCTCCTGGCAAAAAAAAGAGACGGAGGGACAGAGCGAAAGAGCAACTGGATATACACAGTAAAAAATAATAATAATAATGAATAATAATCAGTAGCAGATATAAGCCTAATTGCACGAGAAGCAGAAACTACGATTCATTAAAGAAACTTATGAGACTACTGCATCATTAAAATCTATCTTTTAAAATCTTTTGATAACTATCTATAACTTTGAGCTGGGGTTTACTTATCCAACATAGTTTTATCTATATACAAAATAAAAAACTAGGGTAGTGAACCGAAAACCAGAGCACTAATGAACCGGAACCGACTTTTTCCGGTTTACTGAAACTAGAAAGTTATTTCCTATATCTAAACCTTAATTATTAAAAGTCCAAGAATATAATCTTTTTCATATAACAAAGCTTGGAATTCTGAATTGACTTTAAAAAATACTTTTGTGTGAAAGCAATTACCAGTATCAAATAATAAAAATATGATATCATACCGCTTGTTAAGCTTTTGCATATGTTTTCATTTTCGGCAGGAATGTGCGGAATTTTTTAAACCATAATCCAAGAGCTTATGTGTCTTTGTTTTAGGAAATTAATAACAACAAATTAAAGTACAAGTTATGAAAAACAAAAGAAAGTTTAATAAACTTCCTGAAATGCAAATAACGAAATAAATATCCAATTTAGATGAACTTAAAAGATATTTTCTTTCAGCGTAGAGAAAACGCACTTCATGGACTTTTTTCTCCTTGAGAAAAGGAGTTGGGGCTTCGCTCCCACTTGAGTCTATTTTTGAGACGTCAACTTGCGTGAGCTGTTTGCCGAGTGGTGCAGTGGCTCCAATGGCGAGGACTGGGTGTGTGTGTGTGTGGTGCACACTCTGCAATTGGCAACTCCATTGAGGCATCTGCAACGACCTCGGAATCTGCATTGGCATCGACTCCGGCACCGGTTCTACGGTATTTTCCCAAGAGCGACAATCCAATCCCTTCTTCGCCCATGCAACTGTCCCTCAAAAGTGTCTAATTACATAGTATCGTGTAACGAGCAACAACAAGCTAATGAAATTGCAACAACTACCTCCTACAACAGCTCTGCACTGTGGTATTGTGGTAATACCTGACCAATTAGTTTAACTATTAGGCAGTTATGGAAAAGCTTTTCACATCTTCTTTTGATTTTTATCAGGCCAGAGGATTAGTGTAAGTATTTCAGACAGAAGTTTACCAATTAATATAAAATAATATATAAATATAAAATCCATTATAAAATCTACGTATTTTCGAAATATATGTTTAATAACCAGATTGGTTGTATAAATAAATTATTTATCTGATAGGGAACTCTTATCTTGCAGACATTTTGTCCAGCTTTCATGGCATTGTCTTGTTTGGTTATAAATAAAGAGGGTTAATTTGTTATATATCAGTACCTGAAAGATTTGAAGATGTGATTGAATCACCTATCAATTGGCTTTCCTAAATAATACCCCTGTTTCAAAACGAGATATGGATTTTATAATACACTATATCTGCTCTACAAGACCTGGATAAACAATCAAAATTATTTATCTCCCAGTAAAAGTGTAATCTAAAAAACAGCTGATTTTCAGCAATATCTTTCCACTGTGCCTGAGTTACGTGAGTGTGTGTGTGCTTGTATCTCAGCTGTGATTGAGAGCTGGAGCTCCGTTGCGCGACTTTCCCCCATATTTCCCCCATGGGATGGGATGCATAGATCGACCCGAACTGACAATTGCGGTGAGTTGGGCTTTCCGTTTCTGCTGTTTCGGGGATTTGTGTCGGCTTGTAATCTGCAGGCCCAGACACAGTTTTTTACATTGTAATTTTGTAATTGCATTTTGCAGACCAGACCAGACCAGACACAGAAACAGACACACGAAAAAGGCAATTTGAAAGCCCCCCTTTCGACCTTTTTGGATGGGGCTGCTACACCAAATACTATGCTCTCCGAATAGTTTGGCAAGCAAATAAATGTGCATTTTCTGTGTGGGAAATTCACTTGCACGAAACTGGAAATTTGTCGTATTTTTTATTTCGCATTTTCTTGGACTTTAATGCTGAACTCGCTGCATTCGAGTTATGGGTTACATGCCAGCCCCAATGGATGACTCAATACGAGCATCCATAAATATTTATATATGGAAACCGGCTTATCAGTGCGACTTGTTTGGCTCTCATGACTCTAGCGTTGAGATTGAGTGAACCCGAGTGCACACAATAATATAAGCGACTAATTACCATAAAAATAGCATTAATTGATTACAAATTGCTTGGCGGGAGACGGAAGGAAAGAAGGCTCTATAGCGAGATAAGGAACTGCAGCGAGATTGGATGCTGGGCCAAGAGAAATGTCGAAAATACTTTCGATTGCCATAATTTTTCCGCATTTTATGGCTCTCTTTTGTTTAGAAATACTCTTATTCTGAACTTTGAGTAATATAATGAATATATGAATGTATAAATAATCGTTAAAAAGATCAAAAATTGACAAGCATTTTCAATTCTAAATTGAGTATGCAGATTTATTAACCTAATAAAAACTAGCATACGATAGTTTTCCGAATTAAAATATTAGCTTTTTTTAGCTGAGTTATGAAATTTTAAATCTTTAATTTGGCGAAAAAATTCCTTTATCAATAACCCAATATTTTGTAGCTTTCACTGATAATTTCTTAGCTATTAAAATCCTACAAATATGTTTCCGTCAGCCTTATCCCTTATCCCTTATACCAAATCCGGGAATCCCACTCAATGGGTGCTCCTATTGTGGTAGGACATCGACGACAGGGACATAAAAAGGCTATTACAAGCGAAGGGAAGGACAAATAAATAAATGCCAGAGAGTAGAGAGCCAGAGAAAATACGGAAATGGGGGCGGCGGCGGCAGCGGCCAGGAAAATGTTGCAACTTGCCAAGGCAAATATAATAGGAAAATATTAGACAAGGAAAAATGTAATAAAAATGTGCGTGAAATGGGAAAGGCCAAAAGGGGGTTGTGGATATATGCAGGAAGCAGAGGAAGTGGAAGTGCCAATGTCAGCGGGGGTGGGACAGAACATATAACGGGGCTCCTCGTGTTCTTGGGTCGCAATTTCAACCACTGTGCGGGTGGCAGGGACAAGGGAAAAGGGATAAGGGTGCAGTATGTGAAGGATGGAGAATATGGAAGAGTGAAGAAGCGAGCACAAAGCGAGTACGACGCATAAAGGATGATGGAGAAAAGGAACGGAACATCAACTGAAACCGCCCCAAAATAGCACAAAAACAACATAACATTTCCATCAAATCGCCGCGTGTTGCTCTCTCTCATTCCACTTCTTTCATTCTTGCTCTCCCTCTTCCTCTCTCTATTCCTCTTTCTCTGCTGTCAACAAAAGAAGCGGCAAAGCAACAACAAGTAAGGAAACTAGCCGGCAAATAACAACAATAATTCCCAATATAATCGGAAGCAATGGGAAAAAGAAATTAGCTCAATTGGAAAGCCAGCATGAAAAGCGACACAGGGGAGTGAAACGACAAGAAAGAGGGGCACAAAGAGGATGAGACGAAGGAGAATTTTATTTTATGCATTTTATGTACAATAAAAACATGATTTGAACAGCGGAAATAAATCAAAATTCGCATCATATTTACACCTGAGATTAAATGCTACGATGCATGTGTCTGTCTACATCGTTTTTTTACTTATTTTGCATACAGTGAGCGCAAAATTGAGTTACATGTAGAGATCTAGCAATTTGTAATAATTTTCAATATTAAATTTAACCAGGGTTATGTATTTTTAAAAAGATTTGTAATTAAAACAGACTACCTAGCAAGAATCTTCCAAGTTTGATAGAAATTTCTTTATATTTTTAACTAGTTAAAAATGTTTAGATTTTTATGTAATTATTTATGCGATAAAAAAAAAACAACAGACTCAAGTTTGCAATCGCAACGCTGATGTAAATTACACCTGAGCTTGGATGCTGCATGCACTCTGATATTTCAGTGTAGTAGTGAAATGGAATGGCCCCTTTTCCCTTTTCCCTAATACTATATTTACATAATCTCATACAAAATCAACACAGGAAAAGAAAACATGATTCCACCATCAATATGGAAAATGATGGAAATTCGTGTGTATTTTCTGTGTATCCTACATGCAGGTGCAAATCGGAGAAAGAAATAAAATTGAAACTTACCGTTGTGTTCGGTGAAAATGTTGAGTCCAACGGAGGGATTGCATCTCGGGTCCTTGTGTCCACCGCTGCGTTGGCTCAATCCTCCGGAACCGCCCGCTGCTCCACCACTGCTGCTGCCTCCACCGCCCCCGCCGCTGTTGCTGCTGTGTCCGCCGGATGACGACTTGATGCGGGAACCGCGAAGCGTTGAGCCGCCGCCAAGGGGGCGTTGCTGCCGCTGCCGGAGCCCGAGAGGCTGATGCAGTGCGGCGAGGAGGATGCCACGGGGCTGCTGCTGCTCGAGAGGCCGATGCAGCTGACGGGGGCGACTCCTCCGCCCCCACCCCCACCCGAGTGGGAGCCCCTGTCCTTGCTCTGCTGAGCACCCATTTGTGGGCGGGTGGTGGCCTTAAAGGGGGTTGTGGGTGGTTTTTTCGCTGTCTTTCGCTCCTGCGCAGCAGCAACAACAACTTGTACACTTTTCTCTTCCTCTCTGATTGGCGGCTCCTTTGCCGTTAATTCGCTTACTACTACTATTTGATTTTTCCGCTCTTTCCGTTGCTTTTTCGCTCAATTATTTGCCGTTTTGCCTTTTGCTTTGCTTTAATTTACTTCACTTGTACACACACACTGCCACTACACTCATTTTTCTCTCTCTTTCTGCGGTTTGGAGTAGACAAAAAGATTGGAGACACTCACTCACTACACGCAGCTCACACACACTCACGGAGAAAAGGAAGTTTGCGATTTTATTTGTTACTTCTCCGCTTGACTTTATATCGTTGCTATTTGCGAATTTGCAGCATGTTTGGAGCAAACTTTTATTTGTCGCCACCGCTCGACGAGTGGGAGGCTGTGAGGGGGCAGGGGAGGGGCCGTGCTCGAGCGGGGGGCCACAAAACACGCCCTGAAAATGCACTTTGTCTTCGCTGCCTCCGCCTCTGGCTCTCGCTCGCACTTCTTTTTTTCACTGCTCGCTGCAACTCCCTCGGTCTGGGCTCCTTTTCACGGCTCTGCAAATCCGCAGGCGAAAGCCTCTTGACATTCCTTCCGCGGAGATATAGATATCTGATCTCTTGCGCCTGTCCTATCTATATCTTGACATTTTTCCGGATCGAATTGGAACCACAACCGAGACGTTCAGAAATTAGTGCTGCAAAACAATATCTCGCGTCGAAGAGTTGCCAGTTTAGCTTGAAAATCATATGGCAAAGCTTTTGAAGTTTGCAACTAGCTATAGCCACTTTTAAAATTTTGAAGGGGCAAAGCGGAAAACATTTGAGAACTCGAGCACAATAAATACACTTATTTTGTACAACGAACGTAAAATAGTGTGACCCTGAGCCACTACACCTTTTTCCCCGTCAAATGCGTCATTTTTGGAATGGATCAGATGCGGAAAATAAAGAGAATTGTGGGAAATCTGGATTTTTTTGGCTTTTTTTTACCAGTACCAGTAAGTGACAGCACTGTTTCGAAACCGACATGCGCAGTTATCGATACTATCGATACGTCTTTATGTAAAGTAGTGTTTTGACATACAATTTTACGTAGAGCTTGAATGTTTCGATTGCCGGTGGACATTGTTAATAGATTTATAACAAGAGCTTAACAATTAAAACAATTTTAAAATTAAGATTACTTTCATATTGTTTCATAATGTCGCTTGTAAAAATACATATAAATAATATTTGTGAGCCTCTTTAGCGAAGTTCTATGTATATATCGAGTAGAATCTTAATACGTCATCAAACGGTGGACAACTTTGATGAAGGGTTTAACCTCGGATGGATGGAAACGTAATCAACCAACGTTAAATTATAAATAAAGTTATCTTCTTACGCAAAATATGTTTTTTTATTTAATTAACCATTTACATAGCTGGTTTATTCGTGTTTCTTCACTATCTTTTTGGGTTTCCGAAATCATTGAATATGTCTAATTGGAAACAAATACAAATTCAAATTGGATAATGCCTATTGACAAGTGTTGGGAAACGTCATATTATAAAGCAAATGTTGGCGGCAAAGTCAGTTACAGATTTAAAACTATCGTAGGACTAAGAAATGATTTTTCTTGAATAACTTATATATTATGATAATAATATTATTGCCATGATTAAGACTTACCGCAAATAGAGGACACATAGTTATTCGTCATTGCTTAATTCCTTTCAGTGAGGACTTATTTTCCTCGAGACTTCAATTAGGCTTCTCATAGTATCAGCAAAGTTATCTTCTTCCTGTTTATCCAGATGTATTGGATGGCCACGTCATATTTTTTGAGTCGCAAGAATAATCACTATCACTATCACCACTGATGTTAACACTAGGTACCCCTAGGACAGACTGAGGCCGGCCGGCGGCAGCGCGCTGTATTTATAGTCTCCGAGCAAAGAGAAAAGAGAATGAGAGAGCGAGAGAGTAAGAGCTAATTCTATAAAGAGGCAGAGACACATAGAGAGTAAGAGATAGCTCTAGAGGCACACATAAGAGGGACAGCCGTACAGAGCGAGCGAGCGAGCGAGAGAGGGAGTTTTGCATTTTCGTCTGCATTTAACGATTGTTCCTATTTTATATATGATATAGTTGCCCGATTTTAATAAAATTAATATAGAAATTATAAAACAAATCAAAATGAATATATTTTAAATTAAATGAAAATATTTTTAAAACTGGAAAAGTTATAAATTGTTTTATAAACATTTTCGATCGTTCCTATGGCAGCTATATATATAGTAAATCGATCCGGCCCCTTCATTGGACTATTTTAAATCTTATTATTTTAATTAATGTTTAAATTCCGTTCCCAAATTAATACAACTTTTGTTTTTTTTTTTCCATCCTTTTCCATTTTGTTACGTTTTATTTATCCGTTGGTTTTTCTTTTTAGCATTCTCAATTTTAGTTTTGTTTCACTTAGTTTTCGCTTAGTATTTCTACCCAACGAAAGTGTTAAATTTGTTCGTTTCAATTTCATTATCTTTCTCGACTTTTGTAGAGTAACTCCTCTCCATTCACACGATCCTCCCTTCAGCTTCACTTTCATTATCATTTGCAAGTTCAGTTTCAGTTTCAGTTAAAGTTTCTTTGTTTTACACTAAATTAACTTTTCAAGTAGGACTTTTGCTCTTAATTTTCTTCCCTCTTTCGCTTACAAATATAAATATAATTTAAATTTGTTTTCTTTTGTTAATTTGTGTTTTCATTCGTTACGTACAAGGACTTTTCTTTTTGTGTAGAAACTTTCTGTTTTCCATTTTCCAAGTTTTTTTTAAGCAGAGTGTACATGAAATAATAAAGAAATGCATTCAACACAGTTTTTAACTAAAATAAATGCCTTCCCCTAACTGAATAGCAACCTTCTTCACAGCACTTATTATGATTCTCCCTAAAAAATAATGCTGCGTGACTGGGTGCTATAACTTTTTTTATTCCCATCAGACAGCAGAACTTATGGGAGTGATCAATAATGCAACTATTACAAAGGTTATTTATTAATTTATACAGAATTCAAAAAGTTTTATTACTTTACAAAATAACAATTTGCGCTCTGGATCTTTTGGAACAATAATAGACTAAATTATAGGGTTTCTTGCTGTTATTATTGGTTTGTTGGTAAATGGTTTTTACTCATCATTCGCTTTTCGTTTAATATTCCATTAATATAGATTTTATAAATATATATATTTATATATGCGTATAGACTTAGAGTACAAAGTTCTCAGACCCCGAGCTACAATTCAAACCGAAGACAAAGCTCTCTGAATATGACTATCAATCGCAAAGCAATGGAGCCGAGGAGTCTGTGACCTTCTTTTGCTGAGAATTTTAACTAAACACTTTGGGAGGCAACAACACAAAATCCCACCTGAGGAGGCAAATATTGCATAACACAAGGCCCAGGAGTTTTGGAGCTTGGAGTAAGCTCTGCGATACTCCGGATTAAATTTGTTTTCTGGCCGCGTTGCTATTGTTTAGAGGCTGTCATTAGTTTTGCAAACAATATAATCTATATATATATTTTAGTATATAAACGACTTTGGGCTTACTTGACAACACACGCATAAAGGGATCAATGGCATAGAACTGCAGCTGGGGAAACACAGCGTTTGAATAGGATTCAGATAGAGAGAGTGACTATAAATTGAACTTATGCCAAAAACTGAGGCAGTAACTATTTAAGCAACTAATTCCCCCTTAGCGTAAGGGCTCCTCAATATCTCTCCCGCTTAGGCTGGACTTCTTCTACACCTACAGTTCTACGCTGGCTCTAGGTTTTCGTTTAGCTTTCATCAGGTTTGTCTGTGTTTCTGTGTGTGTTTCTTATATACATGTTCAGATATATGGTTAGGTTGCCTGTCCACCCACCCCTTTTACAACTTTTCGCTTACAAATTAAACTCTCTCCCGACCGGTCCTGTGTGTGTATCTGTCTGTACGTGTGTATCTGAGGATTAAAATTAAAAAACAACTTGTACACCGCTCTACATAAATAAAGGTCCTTAGCCGTTAACAGGGGGAGGAAGTGGTAGGTGTGTGTGGTGTGCTGTGGTGCTTGTAGTGTAGTGATGTGGGAGTTGCACCGGGCATCCTTACTGCGCCTTAGTTCGACGCAGATAGGCGGCAGACTGATCCTCGCCAGCGCCAGCAATGAACTTGGAGCTCTCGCTGATCTGGGGCGGTGACTGCTTAACAGCATTCTGGGCAGCAAGGGAGGCGGCCATGCGCCGGCTCTTGTTGCCACCGGGCGCCAGGTATGCCTTGTAGAAGAAGCGCGCAAACAGGACAAAGTAGCTGAAGTACATGGCAATCGACAGGTTGATATTACGCTGCGAAATGTGACACGACTGAGTGCCGTGCGTCTTCAGGAAGCCGTTGGCCCAGACGTTAATCGCACACCCGATAATCATCTGCGTCAGCTGCAGCGACGTGATGATCATGGCAATGAATCTGGGCGGATTAAAGCGGGCTGCCTTCAAAGCGTAGTAGCTGTACATCACCGAGTGCACGCAGTAGTTCATCACGATGAACCAGCGTGCAGAGCTGGTGTATTCCGTGTAGCTGAACCAAGAGTAGATCAGCACAGTGATGTGATGATACCTGCAAGGGCAAAGGCAAATAAGTATTCGCTTTCTCAACTGATAGAGATTGATAGAGAATATGCTCGCAATGCAACATACCAGTGCAGGAAGATCAGGGGCTGTTTGCGCAGCACAATGAATATCGTGTCGCCCAGCTCCGGCAGCTTGCTGAGTACGAAAAGCCAGGTCCAGAAGCCGCACACGCGATCTTGCTCGATGTAGCTGTGGGATATGGGATAAGAGGATCGGTCAGTGAATGAACTCGCACAGTATTACATTTGCATGGCAATCCAGTTTCCAAGTTCAAGGCTGAACTGGCTGGAAGTGGAATTGAGATGCATACAATACCAACCTGGGCACGCAGACGGAGTGGAAGAGTCCGTAGTGACGCAGCACGTGAATCAGCTCCGGCGCCGTTCGAGCAGCTCCCATAATACTAAACATGGCCAGCATTGTGTTCCATATGATGAGCGGGCCTCGCAGTTGAAATCTGTAAAGAGATTAAGGAACGGAAAGTTTAGCAAAGATATTAGCCAGGAAAAATACAGTGGAAAAGTACATTGGATCAAGTTTATAAAGAAATTAATTCCGTTTGTACTTGGAACGTGACTTGGTTTCATTTTATGCGTTATTTTTAAACCAAATTTGATGGCATTCTGGTATCAAGTTCTCTGTGTATAATTATTAGGTAATAAATATGTTATTTATAGAAATACTGATAAGACTTAATGTTATATTCTTAATATTATATTTTTTTTCTGCGTGCACTTGCTCCCTTGCGAATTCTAACAAATCACGACGTCAGTTTCCACTTTAAATTAAGCATATTTACTTGTGGCTAATAGGCGAGAAATCGCAGTGGAGAAAAAAAGCAGCAAAATGTGGAAAGATCAACAAACTTTGGCTGTTTTTCAATTATTTTTCCCCCTTATATTGTCAGTCAAAGATCAAGTAGTATTTGCACTTAATACGTGCGAATTTTTGTGTAATGCAATGACATCAACCTACAACTTGAAAATGTCACAGGGTCAACTATTAAATGGCCATCGAAATTGTCAAGGAAATGGCTCCAGACCTATCCCAGAATAATCTGGGTAATCTCTCCGACCACACGGTTGTCGTCAGGCCACGTTTTTTGTGAAACAAACAAGCAGATTCATTCGATCGTTCGATGCAATGCCATTAAATTAAGATTAGACCCTGTCATGAGATGAACTAACTGATTACAGTCAATAATGACTTTGTTGCTGTCTTTAAAAATTTTTGAAATTTTGCGCTGCCTGCTGGCAAGGTCAACAACGTGAAACAATGATTCTCAAAGGCGGTTGCCTTCTCCCAATAAGATTGTTTATAATCTTAGGAAAGACCGACCCATGTGCCTCAAAAGAAGAGGTTCTTAAGTGAGTTCTCTCAACATAACAAAAGTTGTTCGAACCAAAAAATACTGGTTTAGAAATATAATGAACCAAGACAGCTTTAAAGAAATTGAATAAAAAGAAAATGCTTAGAGGTTCTTGTAAACGATTCAAGCATTTAAAAATCGTATCAGTCAACGACTTGATTCAAATATTATTATATTAATCTGCTATTTGTAATTAGGTTTACGCAATCAATGGGCGGCAAATCAATTGAAAAACCTTATCGATGACTCGATTTACTATACTATATATACAGTGCACACTCCAGTTCCACCTGGGCGAAACCTCTTCACGCGGTAATTAGTCATAAAACGCGCACAGAAATGTGATTTCTGTTATCAGAAAATGCCGAAAATTGATAGCTTTAACCTTTAGCATGGGAGGCGAAGTCAAACATTATAGCGAAAAAATAAAAGATTGCAAATATTTTTAAGCTAAACGTTTTTGAGTGTGTTGGAAGGCACAAAAGTAAATAAGGAAGGTTTTTTGAAATGCGTCAACGGTTTGGGTTTTGTGTTCATAAAAACACAATCGATGGCCAGCAATTTGCCGTCAAACAATGCCATAAAGATTATGTGTTTTAGGACTGACTTTTATCGACGGCAATCAACCCCACGAGCAGGAGAGGAGCTCACTCAGAACGCTGGCAGAGATTTGCATAGATAGAACCAAGTCTCAGTCCTCCACTGTAATACACAATTAAGACCACACAGCGGAAATGTTCAACTAAGTCATTGAGTTCCATCCAAGATGTGCTCTAGTTGGGAATCTTAAAAAATCATTTCTATTAATCACAATTAAGCTCAATGCCACCAGGCCAGGAGAAAAGCCATCAAAAGAAAAGAATAGATTTCGAGAGCCTAGCTTGGAATACCCTCAAAGACAGGGAATTCTAAATGAAGGTAATTGAGATTTTGTTTTATTTAAATGTTTGTTAATTAAATGAAATATTTCACACAAAACTGCATACCACAGACTGTACTATAGTTTTAATTGTGATTTAAAAATTACGAGAAACGAGAAACAGAAAGTTATCTAATAGAAAATTTATTTTTATTTTATACCAAAAAATCAAAGTTTAAAAATCTCATGACTAAGCCAAAAATTCATTAATTTTCAATCGGACAGCTGTTCTGTGTTAGTTTTTATTAGGTAAATAAATCTGCATACTCAATTTAAAAATTTAAATTTTTGCCAACTTTTGCAAATTTTAACGATGTAACCCCTAATCATTTTTTCAAATTTTGAGAAAATTTTTCAAAATTTATTTTTCGACGGGACATGGCTAGATCGATTTGCCTGTTGATGCTGATCAAGAATATATATGATTTATAGGGTCGTAAAAGACTCCTTCACAACGTTACAAGCTTCGAACTATTATCATAATACCCTGTAAGGGTATATAAATTACCTTAATTTACCCACACAACACAGTAAAAAGCTCTTTTCGCTTGCACAACTTTTATCCCCCGTCAGTGAACCCTACGATTCCCAACTGATTCTGGCCGTCCGTGCATTGAGTTCCACTCGCTGGCTGGGAGCAATTCGTGCCTGAAACTAATGAGTAAGGAAAACCAAACAACGCCTTGCTAACCGCTCGGCAGTATTGGCTTCAAGGCAGGGGGATGCATGGTTCCATTCATCCCCCGAAGCTCAATTTTTGTAAGGGCACAGGTCGTCCCCTTCTCCGTCAGGTGAACGGCGTCTGGCGGCGCTAACTGGGCACCTACTTTGTGTCCAGGGATCGCTGCTGGGTGCCACTGCCTGGCATGGGTGTTTGCGATCTGCCCGATAAATAATATTTGCAAAAGTATCTATTCAAACTGTGAAATTCAAAACTGTATCTTACAGATACTTAGCGATACTAAACATAAACCTGTCAAGCCAGAAACCTATGTTTAAGCCTTAAAGCCTTGGAATATATAAACATATTCCTAATAAATAAATAATTGAGAAATATTTCAATTTCAATATGTGAAAAATATAGATTAAGGTCCCTATAAATGCACATATTTTAGACTTTCTTTGTGGTACAAAAAGTCTAGAATAAGAATGATTTCCAAAAGTCATATAAAGAAGTGATTTTAATTATAATATTTTATGAATTTATAGAGTTTTACTTATACGATAAATAGGTTTTAGCCTAATTAAGTTTTCAAGTCCGGGTTCACTAAAATTTTTAAACCAGAAATCTCCCTATTTTGTTGGTTAAAAGTTAGGCTTTTACGTAAGCCTTAAAATCCCAAAATTTGAATGCCAAAAAGGTGAAAAATCTGCAATCTCTGCAACAATGTTACAATGTCTCCCCAGTTATCAATCTTTTTTGACTGCATAACAATGTTTATCATAATCACAATGACGAACACATTTCTCAAGCGAATTAGGGGAAGTTGGTGAACTTTCTTTCTGTTTTCACTTTGTGGCGAAAATTGCATAAGCAAAGAGAAAGAAATTTGCCGACAAAGAGAGTAGAGAGTAGAGAGACGACAATCAATGATAGAGTCGAGGACAGAGAGATGGAGAGCTGAGGTAGAGTGAGTAAACCTGATTTTGCAAAATATGTAAACAAAAGGGGAGAGACCCACACACACACACACACACATACGCATTATGCAAGTCAACAAAAACAAACTAATGTAAACATTGATGCACTTGCCAAAAAAAAATTAACACAATAACTTAAACAATACACGTTTTTGTTATAAAGAAATTCCATTACAAAAAAAAGTTTAATTTGGGGAAACAATAGTACAGCTTTCTTTGAGATTTTTGTATAATTTAAAGTTTGGTAAGAAGATTTCGTAAAATAAAATTTGTTTAAAGACAATTGTTTAAGAAATTAACCTATGCTATACTGAAGATACTTTCTATGCTCTATATAGAAGGATTTTGTTTAAATCAGCATTGATTTTAACTTGGAAAATGTAATATTCCTAAGGAAAAACTCATTTGAATCATAAGTAAATCCAAAACATATTTTTAAAGAAGAATAAATTATCAGAAAAATAAAATGTTACATATTAATGTATATTATATTATGTTATGATGACTATAATTATTAATCCCAATTATCTAAAGTCTCAATTTATAGTTTCTTTCAGTGCAAACGATGAGGAAAACGTGGGGAAAAACAAAGTGCTGCAAAAAGGAAAAACGAACGAATGTTGGTCAATTGATTATTGTTGTTCGATTTGACTTTGGCTTGGTTTGAATTGGGTTTAGTTATTTTTTTGGCCCGGGTTAGGCTTAGATTTTGTATGGTTGATTTATGCAGTGGTTATGCTTATATGCACACCATATTTCCACTGCCATATACTTGCCATTTGGCATATAAATATACATAAACATATACATATATAAAATACAAAAAACAACGAACTATAAACTAAGAAATTCGCAACATTGTCTCAAAACTGATGCGGCAGTGGTTTGTTTCATTGTTTTCATTTTCATCGCATTGCAAAACTCTTTTAAGCTCAACTTTCTGGGTTTTAGGTTGAAGCCAAAAAAAATTAAGGTTTTTGCTTTTAAATTTATTTTTAATTATTATTCGTTTTATATTTTGCGGTGGTTCACACCAAAAGCGATTGGCTTGGATGTCACAGCATTGACCAACATATATTGTGTTGACCGCTTTTAGAGTCTCAGAGTGCAACCAAAAAAATATTGTGAAAGGTTTGTATTTTTTTGCACCTTTTAGCTAATGGTTAATCAGTGATCGCCTGAGTAAACCTATTAAGATTAATGGGGCCTAAATATTCCAGACGCCTTTTGAGTGCTAATTAAGTTAAAAGGTTTCTGACTTATAATTACTTTGCAAGCTGGAGAACGTAAGGTATTTTAAGAGTAGAAACAATTGAAAATCTGTAGAAAAGCAGTGCTATTTAAAAGCCTTGGTATCACACCTTTAACCCTTTTAATATTTCTAAAATTATAAGTTATAATATATGGTATATTCAACTTAACACACAAGCTGTATAATGTATAATGTATAATGTATATAATTTTGTTAAAGTTCTTTTAATTATACCTCAACTCTCCATTTAACTCAAACTTAAAACGTAAACTCAGT